TTCCGTATGCATCGCGTGGGACTGCCTGCATGAGCTCGACGAGTCTCGTTGTGTCTAACTTTCCAAATGAATTCTGCATGGACGCCCACGAGTCCGCAGACAGTGTGACCCGAATTCGCCCTACATTTTCAGAGCGCCCCTCTTCCTCGACGAGCATTTCCGGTGCGACCCCATCAAGCAACTGTTTGGTAAATTTTGTTATCAATACAACAGCGTCCGGGTACTCTGTGTGGTTTACCTCCAACACAAACTGTGTTCTGAAACGCTCAGCGATACAACCCTGGTCCGAAACGAACAAGCCGGGTTCACATACACACTCAAATCGGAGACCACCGTCGCTCACCAGTGCGTCAAGGTTGACACACGAGACCCCTCCAGTCTGAAGCACACACCCATCGATCCCTTCCACACATTCGTCGATGTCTTCGAGTTTACAGTCACTTTCACGGTAACGCATCCCAGGGAACGGCAGTTCGCGGTCTTGACAGCGCGTACACATTGATGTTTGTGATAGCACCCCCCCCAGTCGACAGCACGTAGAGGGTACCCACAGACTCTCTGAAACATCCATGATGACCTCTGCCGATGGGCAGAAGAAGTGGGGTTCAACAGAACAGTGAGGGCTACACCCATCACCGCCAAACATGTTTCCATCGTCACATTCCTCAACGAGAGGGAGTAAGACCCTGTCCCCACACGCTGACGGTATCCCATCAAACACGCCAACCGTGAGATTCGTTGCTACCCCCCCTCCCCAGCACACCTGGTCGCCCCCTGAACCACCGATGCGGTTGATGTACGCACATGACATTGTTTCAGAGACAAATAGTCCCACGACACTCGAATCGTACTCGACCAGATGCGCAAAGCCTACGTTTTGTGGCACGCATTCAGCCCCTCCAATGGATGGTTGAAAAACTCGAAATTGACACGGACGACAACTCTCGAGACCTATAGCGAGATTGAGAGGGTTGTGAGTGTTCACGGGACACGCCTCACAATCGAGAGTATCATTAATGAAGTAACCAGCTGCACACACACACATTTCTACGAAGGTGCTGCCTTTCGATACTGTAGTCTTACCAATATCGCATTCATCACATACCTGGTATCCCTTCTCACTTTTGTACGTACCCAGAGAACATGGTATACACGCATCCCCAGACAAGAACATCCCAATCTCGCAAACACAACTGGTTCGAACGTCTACCGGCCAGCTCATAGAGTCTCTTGGGCAATGCAAACACGTGTCCCCTGAATAGAACTGCCCAGGTTGACAGATCCAACCGATTCGGGTGCCCACCGGCCAGTTCGTTGATCCTATAGGACACTGTGTACAGTTCTCGTCCCCCAGCACAGCCTTGAACGTATCAACTGGACATAATTCACATATGGCTGCGTCTGTGCGAAAGTGCTGGGGTTTACAGACACAATTACTGCCATCCACTGCAGGAGCCTGATTGCCCGAACACTGACACGCGGTACGATCTAGGTTGCTGAAAGTACCATTCGTACACGGTGTGCAAACAGTAGCACTTGCATACTGCGATACATGATTCAGTGGGAAATTGATGCATGTCCCATTCCTGGCCCCATTGATACTCACTGATTCGAAGGTGCCTGGTTTACAGACCACACACTGCAACTCTATACCGCGTTCAACGACCCGGTCCACTGGACACGTACAAGTGGTACCGTCGATAGAGCCGTGCTCCCCGGGTGGGCATGAAGCACACTTAATGTTGCCATTTTCAGCCTTGTATGAATAATTTCCACACTTCACACAAGTATCAGAAGCAATAGAAGCGTTGAAGAAGGGTTCAAACCCTGCGCTACACCGACAAGCAACAAGGTTGCCAAAAGTGTCCAGCAGTGTCTGGAACCCATCCACACACACACACACCGTCTACCCCTTTCTGGAATGAAGGGCATGGACTACACTCGACCATATCCACGTGTATAACATCGTCTGGGTAAAGCTGGGCTTTGGCGGTGACTGCCTCATACCGCAAGACAATCTTATCCACCGGGCATACACATTGCACTTGATCTGGGCTCCACACAGAGGACCCAGTGCATGGTATACATGCATCACCTGTATCACACAGTGTCACGAAACTTGTGGTAGAGTCCAAAGCCAACGGTAGTTCATCTGCTGCTACATACACAGTCAATCTTGTCGGGGAGACGTAAAGCCCAGTCAGCAGTCGGTGTGGTGGATCCATCCGGGTGCTGCTTATGGTGACACCCAGCCACCCAGTCATGGCTTCTTGACCCGCAGCCTCAACGTCTTCAAAGTAGAAATTGTGAACCGTTTTCCCATTACTCAAGAACGTTTCCCAACATGGTTTAATTGGTCTGGGGTTACCCTGGCACTGTACACGCAGTTCATGTGTCTGGCGATGGTGAGTCTAGGTTATTCCTGACACGCTACTCAACCCACTCAATGTGGCAATAACTAGTATACCCAGCCACGACATCTCGATGAGGTGTACCCCACGCTAACTATGAAATAGCTCGACACACAGCAGAGACGCGTTCAGTGCCGTGATCTCCATGTATTCAAAAAACTTACACATGAGCCCCTACCCAGCCTAATCGGTGGCGTCGAGCTATGTCTCATCGACCTCGTCGGTCGGTAGGTAGGCCGGTGCGAGCACAGGTGGCCCGAGCACAGGTGGCCCGAGCACAGGTGGCCCGAGCACAGGTGGCCCGAGCCCCGGAAGTACATCGCCATCCTGCAAAGGATTGTCTGTCAGAGGCACTCACGCATGGTTAAATTTCCACCCATCCAAGTGCGGCTACATCTACACGACCACGCTGTCTACCACGGGATCCTGTACCAGCGGGAAGTCGTGGTCGATTCTGTCAAATCAGGTCAGATATGGGTGAAGTCAGACCCCAATCTCGCAATGGACAGTCTCGGGATGAAAAATATGTGGATACTTGATTCCCGTGTCGTGTCGATGGAGATTCTAGCACCTCAGCGAAGCCAGCAATGCCAAGATGAATTCAAAAACAAGTTTGAATGGAGGGTGGTGCATAAGGGTGGTGGTGCATACCACCAAGCCGACGCCGGTGTCGTACGGGAGTAGGCCGATGGTGCCAGTGTCGTACGGGAGTAGGCCGGTGGTGCCGGTGTCGTGTGGGAGTAGGCCGGTGGTGCCAAAGTCGTACGGGAGTAGGCCGGTGGTGCCAAAGTCGTACGGGAGTAGGCCGTTGACGCCAGTGTCGGATGGGAGTAGGCCTTGAGGGAGGTCGGGGTTGAGAGCGAGGATGAAACTATCGATGACCAGGGCACGCGTCTTCTGGCGAACGAGGGGGTACCCTGCGGCGGTTTCTGAGGAAACTGCGACAGGGTCCGGATCGCCGCTACCATCGCCCCCCACCCCATCCCACATTTTCTGGATTGCTATCATTCGTTTGCAATGCTCCATCGACAGACAAAGTACAGCGATATCATCGACTTGCCTCGACCCGTCGGAAGGGAACCTCCAACCGAATACACGATTCGACCCCAACATCCTCTGTACCTTTTCGAGTTCGTCTTGCATCGCCCTAGCTTTACCGTTCCTACCCTGCTCCATGACCGTCATGTGGTTTTTGATCCGGGTCGCCAGCTCCTCTATGGCGACCACCCTGGCAATCGCCGCTACGCGCCTGACCCTGGCCGTAGCATTGGATTGCTTCACCGGCCCCACCTCAGCGACCTCAGTGGCATCCTCCCGGGCTGACATCTCCGCGCGCGGCTTCGGGGTGGCGGCGGTGGCGCGGCGGTGGCGCGGTGGTGGCTTCGGCTTCGGGGCGGCGGCGCGCGCCGGTGGCGGATGACCGTGTCTGATGCAGCCTGGGTGGGTAAATTCGTGCTGACAAAAATCTCGTGTGTCTCGTGGGGTCGGTTTGCCAAAAAGCCGTTTAAAAGCGCAAACCAAAAACAGCCGTCTAAAAGCGCAAACCAAAAACAGCCGTCTAAAAGCGCAAACTGACAAGTCACTTTAGTTGACTTTTGATTCAGTCAACCAAATACCGTCCATCTATATCTTATTTACGCAACCTTTCACATTTCATGATTTTACCATAAAATGCCAAATCGCCTCTGGATAATTCTCTGGATCCACCTACCCAACATTTCCCCACCACGATGAGCGTAATTGATGACACCATCAAGGAGACGCGATTGGGTTGGTTGGGACAGCTGATACTCGAGACGAATCAACTCTCATCGACGCACAGAAAAGATCTGCATGGACACGCTTCACCGATCCGCAAGGGTCTCCACGACGCTATGATGAGCGGAGACACCATGCAGATTTTTAGAGTGGTGCGAGAGGAGGAAGACAAAGTGTCGGTAAACCAGAGTGAGTTATGAAAATAAATGCTCTAGATGTGTACACACTACAGTCGTAGACCCATGGTGCCCATTTATTGTCGGGTATGTGCATTCCTCATACTAGCTGGTCTTTGTTTTCTGGGTGGTGTGATGACATGCCACCTTTCGGTACACGGTGAACTAGTTGATTGTGTTGGTGGGCCGGAATTCTCGCAAACGGTCAGCCCAGAGACGGGTTTTTTTCAGAAACTTGCCACTACGGGCGAAGAGCATGCATGTGCCATTCGACACCGCACAGGTCGTGTGGTGTGTTGGAACACCGTCGCGAATGATTTTGGGGTGAGTGTTTCTGAAGAGATTAACGTTCCTGAGTGGGTGATTGACGCCCGGGCTATCTCACTTGGAATGCATCATTCTTGTGCGATTTGGGGGCCCAAACACACGCTCACATGTTGGGCTTCTGATCAACTGATCACTACTGTCTCACCTGTCAACGTGTCCAACGGTGTACGTATGCTTGCCACAGGCCACCCTAAATCACGGCATACATGTTTTCTACGCGAGGGTGTGAATGACGTGTCCTGCTTTGGTTCCAAGGAGAACGCATCGTCTCTGTACAAGCCCAAAAAAATCGTCCAGATTGACAGGTCATAAGCCTCAGGCTCAAAATTACCAACGCCGGGTCTCGAACCCGGAACCTTCGTGTTAAAAGCACGACGCCTCTGCCTATTGAGCTACGCCGGCAATCAATCTGTAGGTGAGGTTGCACATATGTAAAATGTATCAAACAACTAATATGTCTACTCAGAGCCACGTGTGAATGTGTGAAACTTCACAAAAGCCCAGCTGAGCTCACATAAAAAACAGTATATAACCCTCAAATTCAGGTGAATCAAATAAGCAGTGTGACGCAACACAATTACCTGGCCCCCGTGGCCTAGTGGTATAACAATTATTATTCGGCTATAAGGCAGTGGGTTCGATTCCCGGGTGAATCCCCTAACCAGGCCAAAAACGGGGACAATTTCACAAAGCCGTGAAATTATCCCCACTCTCCCATTTCTACAAATTGGGCGCACTCGCTTTTTGCCCAACGGTTGATTTTTTGAATTTTTGTTTTTACTGACACTGTGTAAGGTTGTAGCTAACTAATACACTTAGTGTTTTAGTCCAGTATCATCCGCACGACCTCGGGGTCCATGGGTACTACTGACGACTGGTCCCCGAGACGTTCGTGGACGCCCATGGCGAACGCAACGGCCCTGTCTCTGCGCACTGACTCTGCCTGGATCATGTCTGCAATCGCAAAGTGCCGGTGCTTGGTCGCCAACTCCGCCGCAGTCTTTCCGTCGTTTGTCCGCGGCAGCAGGTCCGCCCCACGTTCAAGGAGCTTTTGAACCATCTTCATGTGGCCGTTCGTGACAGCGCAGTGTAGTGGCGTCCGCCCTACGATGTCCGAGATAGACATACTCGCCTCCAAGGTAATAAGCATGGAGGCGATTGCGACGTGCCCGGCAAGGGCAGCGTTGTGCAAGGGTGTCGAGCCAAATTGGTCCGTGGCGTCCAGGTTTGGCTTGTATGGGATGACATGAAAGAGCAACGGCGCGTTCCCATTCATTGCTGCCCAATGAAGAGGCGTTTCGTCCCAAACGCCTCTCTGATTCACATCACAGCCGGCTTCAACTTTCCGCGACACACCAACTGCAGAAACGTGGGTTCAGACATCGAGGCCTGAGGCCTGTCTCGCGTGCCCCTTCTATATTTCGTCGAATTTCTTTCTTTAAACAGTGGTCGCTTGTTGCTTCTTTTTTCGCTTCAAAGGACAAATTGGCAAACCATTTGCCAACGGTAATTTTCGCTTAAAAGGACAATTGGCAAACCATTTGCCAACGGTTATTTTCGCTTAAAAGGACAATTGGCAAAACATCGAGAAAAAAAGCGGTTTGCCAATTGAGAAAGTGTCAGAAAGGACTTTGGCAAATGGGAAAGGGATCATCAACGATGGAAAGTATGCCGCGCATGGTGGGTGTGAAGAGGTCCGGCACAGAGCCGTGCCCTTGGGACGGGGCGTGCACGCCGCCAGGGAAGAGGCTGCGTTTTCAGGCACCCAAGCCGATCGAGGCGACGCTCGGGGGACACAAGTTCCTGTACGTCGAAAACCAGCACGCCGCACAAGTCGAGAAGACGCGCATCACGGACTCAGTGGTCGAATGGGTACGGGGGCAGCCCCAGTTCGCAGTCGTGGAAGATCGCTTCCTCAGCTACACCTTTGCGGTCAGCGTCGTCGACGGCATCCTGGCCTGGCAGGGCCAGGGTGGGACCAAGCCGATCATGGCTGTCAAGGCGTGCCAGCCACACCAAGTGACCATGTCCCTGGAAGTTATGGGCATGATGAAGCCCACGGCACCGCAGAGAGTCCCCAGGACGGTGGCGGAGATGGTGCTCGACGACCTCCGGATGCCGCCCCCGGCACCCAAGAAAGTCTCCAAGACAGTCTCCAAGACAGTGGCGGAGGCGGAGAGCGCACTCGACGACCGGTCTTGGCGTTTTGAGCTCGACACAAGTGTCGACCGGCCGCGGCTGGATGTCAGCAAGTGTGGGGTACCGCCAATGTCTTCCTACGCCACCGTGGAGGAGATGCTGCCCACGACACCGACCATCCTCTCTGCGACGTTCTCGGATGAGGACATCCTCTCGACGTTCTCGGATGAGGACATCTACACGGCGGTGCCATCCGAGGGATTTGACGACTTCTACGACCCCAGAAGCTTCACGCTCACCGGGGGGTTTGACGACTTCTACGATTCCAAAGACGTCACGATGCCAATCATGCCATCATCCACGGAGTTCGCACGCGCTACCCTCGAGCAGCGCTTCGAGGTCCCCAAGAAGCTCGCCACGGCGATCACTATCGTGACGGGGCGCCAGCTCCTCCTGGCGACCGTGATGGTGCTGGGGACTGTGCCGGCGGTGATGGATGCTGCGCTGGAGCTGCAGCACATGTTCCACGACCGGATCAAGTTCTCCACGGTCTTGTTCGGCCAAAGCCGCTACGTAGACGTGGAGGCGTTGGTGAAGCAGCGGGAGGACGTCCGCGACACGATTGAGAAGTGCGGCGTGGTGGTGTGTGTGCGAGAGACGAGCGCCATCCGGGAGGTGATGGACATATTCGCCGAGATCAAGAACGACGAGGCGTCGGTCCTCGGGAAGATGATCACGCACCGACACCAGCGACACGAGGACGCGTTCACCTTCAACCTCGTACGGTCGGCAATCAAGTTGGTCGACGTCTGCAAGGACATGAACCTCGACGACGCCAAGAAAACGGCGGCGCAGCGGCTCGCCTTCCAGCTGGGAGCGGCAGAGAAGAAGGTCCCGCTCTCCAACGAAACGCTACTCGCGAACAAGATGAAGGCCAACGAGCGGATCATTCTCAACTCCGATCGCTTCTTCTCCGTGGATTCTAACCGCCAGGTGAAGTTGAAGGGCTCCATCTGGACCGACCGAGACCGGGCGCAGACGACCAAGGGCCAGGCCCACCAGACCATGTACATGAACAGGATGGAGGCAAAGCTGGGGGTGATGAGAACGAAGTGGTTCAGCATCGCGGTTACGGAGACCACCTGCCTCGGGTTCGTCATGATCACAGACGACTGGGACGAGACGGACGAAGCGCGGGTCAAGGACTGCGTGAAACAAGGCCAGAAGAAGGCGGCGAGGGACGCGTTGAAGGCGGCCAAGGAGGAGACAGAGAAGGCGGCCAAGGTGGCCGTGCACAAGGCGGATGCAATGAGGGTCAAGTTGGCGGCGGTGGAGACGCCGTTGTTGTTGAGGAACCGGGCCTTTCGGGCGGTGGATGCGGCGGCGGCAGCGGCGGCGGCGGCGCTTCCATCGGTGAAGGTGGCCAAGCCACCCTCCCAGGAGCAAACCCGCAAGGACATCCGCAAGCTGATGCGCTCGTTCACCGCCTACGAGCTCGACAAACTCAAGAAACTCGACACGATCACCCCGCACTGCGTGCTTAGTCTGTATGGGAAAGATTCCCGATGCATCTGGGCACCCAGCGGTCCCCAGTAGGTCGTCTTTTAGGCCCCGTAGGTAGTTTTTTTACTATGGTCAAAATCGAAGCAAGTGTGGTGGGGTGTGGTGGGCATGGCTGGAACATATTAAAAGGCTGATATGTGTCAACAAGTCCCGGCTCGCGCATGCAGCGTCTACAGCAAACCGCTGTACAGTCCATCTGTGTAGCTGCAGCAGTGACACACCCTTCTGATAAAGCAATGAATTTTCTTCATATGTTTAGTCTGTTGAAACGTATCATGCTGCTCATAGTGGGAATTGTGATGTTTGCTACAGCAGGCACACGTTGCTCACCCGGTATTGGGTTTCCACAGTTTTCAAAATCGGAGTGGCAAACCGTTACTTTCTCCGACTGGCAGCATGACATACTACCCGGTGGATGGACGATTTCAATGCCCGGTAGTAATTTGTGGCCAGGTCTATGGATCCTCACCGTCACGATTCTCATAATCTATGACACACTGCGCTGCGTACTTGTGGCATCTAATCGATGGAATAGACAGAACAACACAATTGATATGACATGGCACATCGTGGCATACATCCCTCTGCCACTTGTTTTCGTTGGAACATCCCTCACACTAGGACACAGGGACATTCTGATAATGATATCTATTTTTTTACTAGTCATTTTATCCAGTGTATGTGGTGCAGTGTTGGAACAAATACGTTCGTTTGTCAACCCTGGAACGATACAAGGGATGCCGATTTGTGTAGTTTTCGCACTACGTGGGATGCAAGACGTAGCCATTTTCATTGCATCGCAGTTGGTGGCAATGCCATTCATGGCCAACTTGTTGAGCCCAGACGACCAACCGACCATGTTACAGTTGCTGACATTTACACTCCATTGTTGTCTCGTACTATGCCTTGAAGTAATCAACAGCAGACACAACAGACTATGTACCATATTCGAAGAGCGTTGGCCCGAGAACCTGAGCTTTGCTTCCTGGAATGTAGACCGTAGGACAAAGTATGTCGATCACGAACGCTTACACAAACAATCAAATCAACGAGAGAGAAAAAACCATCAAGACGATGATACCCCACACCCGGAAAAATACGAATATTCTCCGTACGAACCAAACACCGACGTGGTTCGAATCGTAGACGGTGACAAACGCGTCACTACGATCAAGCTAACTGAAGATTTCCATAAAAAGGGGATGTACGACTTCCACAACAAAGGGATGTATGTCACACGCGTCAGATCACATCCATCACAACCAGGAAAGGAATGGGAAAGTGTGAATTCACACAAAGACAACGAAGATATAGCACATATGAGACGTAACACAGGCATGTTGATGGAGTGGCGAAGACATTACCTCATCAACATGTTAATTAACTCATTGCTCTTGGTAGACATCATATCAATCACAGGCGGTCCAGAGGGTACATGTTCACACATTGGTGTACTTTAAGGATGACAGAGGTCAAGTGAAACACGAGCTGACGATAGCCCCACCACCCCACTTTACAGTAAACGAAGATATAGTATTAAAACCCAACATAAATCATCTATGTCAACCGTAGTGCGCATGCATAAAAGTGTCCAGTTTCAGGGTTGGTATCTTTATGTTGCTTATTTATGCCTGGCCCTCATGCCACCATCCTTTACCAATGCCGATGTTGAAATGCAATTTGAAATTCGGACGGCTTCA